AAATAGTCATCACGGGAATGGAAAGGTACTCGTTGTTTGAAAAATATGACGTCATGTAGCCACATTGACAATTAAACATTGTTTTTTCGATTCGATAAAGAAAGAAAAGGAAGTTTATGTAAATATTAATCCGACAAAGTAATTTAGCTGCAGTTCAGGTTTATGCACCTATAAATGTCTTCCCCCAACGGGGGGAGTGCGGTCATACCCAGGGGCTATTGACATTTTCGATTTTTTTATTGTCAATAATCCACCACTCAAGAGCCTTACGAAAATGTCAATGTTTGTCCAAATAATTTTTCGACTTTCTTTGTACTGAAAAAGAACATGGTCAAACAAAATGGAGATAAGGCGGCTTAAAACATATTTCAATACAGTTGAACACACGCTTGACTGATCAAGTGAATCTGGGATTTTAAAAATACAAAGAAAGAATGCAGCAAAAGGCTTTCTCGTGTAAATCACTAAAATAACAAAATGAAATGAGGTACATGAGCGGATGACATGTTTCAGCATGGGATACTGCAAAGATTCTTACCTTCTTTTCAGACTCGTACCCAGTTGCTATTTCTATGTTTTTGGGATGAGAGAAGATTGAATACGAGAGTGGCAGCTTTCAATTACAAATTACTTCAACGTAATAAATTCCGCTCTCGATGACTCAATCTATTAACACAACAAACAGTTGTTGTTTTTAAAATTCTCCACCAAAATGGAGGTGAATAGCAAAGAATATCCGGAGTTTCAGTAGCCAATCAGATCGGGAAAAAGTACTATTCACTTGTGCGGTATATAATAGGGAGCTTAAGCAAGCCAGGACGGCAACGGCAACGAGAACGTCGCTATCAACAAAAGGTTTTTAAAATTAGCAGTACAATAGCTCTGCACGTGCGTTATAATATATTATTTGTACATTTCTCGGCCGTCCTCTGCAAATCAACAATGTGAAATGACCAAATTCTGCGTATTTTGGAGAACGTGAACCGCGACGGCAAACATTCCATATTTCTATTCATAATTGAACGCTTTGTCTTTACATAATCAGTTGGAGCACAAGAAACTTGTGGATACATTTGGTTTGATTTCGGCAACCGATAGCAAAGCGGTCAGAGCGGACTTCGATTTCTTGCGTGTAATGTATTCCATACTAGCCGGTTCAGTGATTCTCGCGAGAAATGAGACACGTCTCATTTCGAGAGGTGGTAACTTACTTTGGGAGGTACTGCAGTTCTCAAACCGATCGACACACTGAACAGATCGAGATAATTTATTGAGAGATTCGTAGGCGTTGTCCCCGGCGTTGCCGTCATCGTTGCTTAAGCTGCCTCATAATAACATTTATTATACGACATAGCATTTTAGAGTGCGAATACGCACAAAGACGAGAGCAAATATGAGACCGTATTACACGGGTCTCAGTCCCCCTGGCCACGCGCTACGGAAAACTCTGTTGAAAGCCTATATTTTGGAAAGAATTATGTCGTATAATAAACAATTTATTCAGCGGAAAGTTGTGTAATACGGCTGGGCATTTTTACTCGACAGTGTTTATTTTTTCTCGCCTAACGGCTCGAATAAATAAAAACTGACTCGTTAAAAATACCCAGCCATATTACACAACTTACCGCTGAATAACCTATATTTATTATATGGCAAAACTGGTCCACGATGAAAAGGAGCATTCTGATTGGTTCCCGGAGTGGTTCAGAATTTTGCAATACGGAACCGCTAAGATGGACCACCACGAACTCATTTCGTCGAATTCCTTTTATGAAAGATTGAACGAAAGAAAACTATGTTCTATTACATAGAAACATTTTTCCTCATGTCTGGCGGACAATTTTGGTTAAAACTTTTTGCAAAGTGGCCTGAAAAATGCAAGAATATGCTTAGCTTTGTCACGCGCGCGTTAGCTGAGAATGATTGCATTAATTTATCAGCAAATTTTAAAAAAAGCCATTATAATAAAAACTTTATTGAACTAGCTTGTTCGGTCCGTATTGGGTAATATTGATCTCGTTCTTTTTTGTAAGTTTGTGGACTGAGCTGAAGGCGAGGTCCATAAACTTGCAAAAAAAGAACACAACCAATATTTTCCCAATACGGACCTCACGCTAGTTCAATATCATCTATATACAGCTGCAAATACAGTGCTATAGACACGCTATTAATTAGTATTTTTCTGGTACGAATTATACAAGAAATGGTGAATGGAAACAACCCATAAGCCCACACACGTACGCACACTGTGCGGACCTATTTTTTATGATGCGGATGATTAGTATCACATATTAAGTCCAGAAATATCTAAACCATTGATTAAAGATAAAATGTACCGAGATTTAACGATGTACAAACATATTAGTTGTTAAGGAAATATGCCTTAATTTTTTATACATACAATTAACTCTGTATAAACAGATAGAAGGAATGATGTAAAACAGAAAAATACTGAAGAATCGAGATGTAGTAGAAAGCACTGAAAAGGACAAAAGAATGTAAGCTAAGAGAAGCCAACATGTAAAAGTAGAAAGAATATTGTGATGAGGTTTGAAACAATGACTTGAAAGACATTAGAAGAACTGATTGAGAAGAGATTGTAAAGTAAGAGACACTTAGCATGCATGTTCAATGAATAAAATGTTGTTCTAACTTCAAGGATGCGGTGATCTGTTTTGTCGAAGCTGTAGTACCTCTGCTAAGCGAGTGAGCTTTTCCCTGCAAACACTGTGTTACAGTGTATACAGCATTACTAATTGTTGCTACATGTAAGGGGGTAAAGCGGGCCTTACTACAGGATAGAGTGGTTGCAAAGGATGCTAATTCGTAGTTTAACAGTTTGCGCGTTGTGAAATTCCAACATAGTAGAAAGTATGAGATTGAACACCTGATATCACCAAATCAACATGACGATAGCGCGCGTTGGATTTCCAAACAGGAATTTTCGGATACATTACTATGGTTTAAATTTTCGTATGAAATTCAAGTTTCATGTTTTCCTCAGATTTTCGGATATACTTTGAATTTGTGGGTACAATTTGAGGTTTCAAGGTAGACTCTGAATTTTTGGATACAACAAGTTTTGAATATAATTTATTATAATTTTCAGTTATAATAATTTTTTGATCTTCAGGTGCACTTCAGATTTTGGGATACAGATTGAATTAATTTTGAATTTTTGGAAGCTCTGTGAAATTTTCGGATACACTTTTGTACACAACGAGTGAACCAGGTAACGAGACAGACCTCATCACCAAAGCGAGGTAATTAATTTACCGCTCGTATTATTCAAGATGGCGGACGCCTAGGCAGTCTGTTATGGAAATGTACAAGAGAATTTTTTCGCTTGATTAAACATGTGTTTCGTGACTTGGATAGTCTCGATCTCGAACACAGTCGATGCTCTGCACTTCAGGCTTGATTGGTTGTCGTGATAAATGACAGGATTCCCCTGTTAAGCAAGTAAGGGTTTGAGAATTCAAACAGTGTAGAAAAAGAGAACAATGTGGAGAGGTCAATCCACCTGGTGTTCCTGCTGAGGTAGCTCAAGCTTCAGACAATTCACAAAAGACGATATCAGTATATGTGACCCACTAGCATTGTAGCATATTGATGGCAATCATGAAACTAATAAGGTATCATTATGTTAGAGGTATTTATAATATTAATTTATTTGCAGTACTTGAGCCATTTGCCAAACCTGAACGTAAGTGGGTGCTTTTAGCGGCTGTTCAGACCTGCATGTGTGTACGGGTCACAGGGAGGGACGTGTAGGGTGATTTGTCGTGGTTTCAAATAACGCTGGGAAACTCAAAATAGAACCAAAAAAGGGTGTATACATCAATTTAACACTGTGGGGTAATAAATGCCAGGGGCGTCATAGGTTTAAGTTTGGCTACGTGGACCCGGCATTTTTGAGCGGGCGGGTTTTATTGAAGCCCGCGTTTAATAGAAATATGTCCTAATACTCAATAGTTTGCATTCCCCATGTACGAAAGGTCGTGGTTTTTTGTTTTTTTTTTTTTTTCTAGGACTGCATTATGCATTTCTTCCCTTTTTTTGTAGACCTGTGGAGATTCTTATTCCATGGAGGATCGACGCGGGTTAGTAGAATGATTGGGTCTACCTGAGATCGATGGTAGCACTAAACAAACTGTGCAACAACAGTGTTAAGACAGTGCGGAGTGACTTTGACTGCCATCATGAAAAAAACCGGTCCAGGTCAGATAAAGGACGTGAAAACTGTGAAGTAGCCATGTTCATGTTGCCACATTCACTTAGTGGACCCAGCCAGTGGACATCCACATAGTTGTCCAGAAGTGTTGCACAATCAATGTATTGACACTTTGGTGATATTTGTTCACTGGGGTGTACATATGTGGTTTTTTACGGTTGATTTGCTTACATACCAGCTGGAAGATGTGGAATTCCGGATCTCTCAAGTGAAAATCAATCGATCAATCTTATACCCACACACTCGATAACAAATTAGTTAATTGATATCGATTGGTCTTGGCAAATCGATGAGCCAATCGATAATCACAAGAAAATGTTGCCTTTCCTCGATTGTTTATCGATTTTCATCGATCATCGATTTCATCGATTGTTCAGGCCGGGAGGTTACCATTTGTCCACCCATGAACACATTTTTAGAATGTATTTTGATTACAAATATTTGTGGGTGTAATACAACTCAGTAATCTTTCATCATGAAACTTCGAAAACCATTTTATGTTATTTTTACATTTCTGATTGGTTGATTTTAGTTATTGGCCGCTCTCAACTGTCTTAGTCATGTAACAAGTCAAATGAATGTATTTGTGGCTCTGTTGTAAATATTTACATGTAGAACATGTTTAATGTGATGATGAATATATGAATGAAATCATATATATATATATCCACTGCGGAAATGGAATGAAATGAATATATGATCATCGCAGTTGTGAATTCAATTTATTAAGGCAATTGCAATAATTATTTTAAGCCAGAAAAAATTCTGGCTTCAACGGGATTTGAACCCATGACCTCCGCGTTACTAGTGCATTGCTCTAACAACTGAGCTATGAAGCACACATTGGGAGCAGGTCAATTGTGAGTTTATACAGCCGTGACATGTTTGTTAGCACCTGAGTATATAATGGGTACCAGTGAACTGTAAGGGAAGACCTGACAAAATGCTGGGGTTATAACTTGGCGAAGGACTTGCATCCATCCAGGGGCTATGGAAAATGTAATGTAAACTCCAGCAGCTGTGTAGGTCAGTTTGGCGTGAGTGCAGCTAAATTACCTCACCTTACCTATGTCTTTCTTCAAGCGCGGGCGACTAGCTTTCCTATTAGGGCGACCGATAAACTTACCGGTCGCCCAGACCGACCAGGAAACTTAATTTTTCAGTTCCCACTTTGCCATAAAATCAAGTAACACAATAAATTAATAGTTAGAAAACAATTTATCTGGTCTTGTTTTGCTTTCATCACGAGAAATCCTGGCCTGAACAATCGATGGAAATTGACAATCGGAAATCCAATCGATCAATCGATAACAATTAGTTAATTAGAAATCCAATCGATCAATCGATAACAATTAGTTAATTAATATCGATTGGTATTGGCCAATCGATGACCAATCGATAATCACATGAAAATGTTCGTGGTCTCATCGATATTGTCTATAGTCGGATTGCTATTGGTTCGTTCCCATCGATTAGCCATAGTTGTATTCATGCAGTCCTGTGAGAATATTATCTATTTTCTACTGACAATTTTGTCATGTCGGAACGTATGGCGGACGCTCGGGGTTTGGTGCGCGTCGAGGATGGAGAAGGAGGCTGAAAAAGGATAATACCCATATGCAATATACTTGATCATAGGAACTGAGGCGACATAAACAAATGCTTTTTTATTTGTTGTAAGCTTCTTTGGTTCCAAATAAAAAAATATGTTTTTGTATAAGCAGTCAAATCATCACTGCGATAAAAATAATGCAGAAAGCAGCCACACAAGCAGCAGGAGCAGGGGGTGTAACGGATCACGCCGTTTATTTTAAGCATGTCGACATGTACGGATTAACATGCGTGCGAAATAATAATAAATCAGAATTATGATCGAATGAAATAATCGATAAGCAATTTCCGATGATAATCAATCGCCGAGTATTAATCAACTTCTATATTGATCCATCCACGATTATAAGCCAATCGATACATCACTACAACTAATCACAATCTTACGTCACCTCGGATTGGTCTTTTCGGATTAATCGATATCAATCAAGTAATTGGCAATCGAGTTTTATTACCCGGATTGTCATTTTGATTTTCCATTCCATCCGATCATCTGATTTCATCGATTTGTTCATTGGCCTGGCCCCGCGGGAGGCGAGAAAGAAAATACTGTTGGCACACAACACAACAAAAAACGTCAACATCAAACTCAAGTAAAACAGCCATAGTTTGGAAATAATCGCCCGCATAATGCATTGCAGAAAAGCCGTCGCCCGAGATCGTAGATGAATGTGACGTTATGTTATGCAATCTACGGATATTGATTGTGTCTCTCATGCCTGAATTTATATGCCCGCCAAACCATTTTTCTTAGGGACCAAACCTACAAACACAGTTTGTATTTTTGCGATCTGGGTAAATTACATAACCATGATAAGTTTTTAAAACCTTATCAAGTACAGCTACACTGTAGTCATCATATATATTTACCCGGAATTGACATTTTCTTTTTCTGAAAAGAAAGAAGAAAGACGACCGTATGTGATGATCGAAAAAACACTGAACTTATTAGTAACCGACATATGTTTAACATTACTGGCTTACTCAAGCTGGTGATGGCTGTTGTATGTAGCTGTATGTGTTATATAGATATTTACGTAATCTTGCTAAAATGGAGACATCAGGAGTGTCGTGTGAATATGCTCAGTTACGAGCTGCACACCGCTTGGTAGGGAATCTTATCTTTCCTTGTTGTTTCCAGTCAGTCTGTACCTTCTAATAGTATCAATAATAAGATAATATTTTATTTGATTATGAGCTAAGGAAGATAATTACTTTACATTATGATTGGGGCTGTAGGAGAGGGCAGGAGCAAAATTGATCATTCATTTTTAATTTGCACTGACAGGGCAGATTAATGTGTGGGTTGGGTGTGCGCGCTAATTCTCTCAGTCACTATAATTAATGAAAAAATCATATGAAAGCTTCAAGCAAATTAAGGATTTATATGTTTGATATTTCGAAAATTCTTTCAAATTGAACTCGTCCTAAAGTCCTTCGATGCAATTTTGAGAGAATTTTCAAACTATCACGTCTGTAGGGTTCATTGCACTCGCATTCATACGATTACAAATAATTTATTAGATACTTAGTTGTTATGGCGTAAACACCTGTCAGTAACAATGGACATTTGCTCCAAAATTACCCCACGAGGGGTAGGGGAGGGGGGGATATGCGTCGAGCATTATGTGCTTTGAATAAATTGAAGGGCCTCATGCAAAAATAAATCAGGCAAATTTGAGCAAAACAAAAGTGGTATAAAATGCAAACATACGCGTTCTGTAATTACCCTTGAACCCCCCCTTTTTTCTACATATTCAAATGATTTATTTTTTGTATCCTATGTGGGCAAATCATGTGATGACACAGATAACACAACACTCAACCTTGACAAATTATTTATTCACTTTTCCATTGCTCAATCTTCATCCAATTGTGTTGCTAATTAATATTATGCAATTCAAAAATCACTGCATGCATTCTCCTCACCTGTACAAACAGAGCTCTAAAGTTGTCACAAGTCTTAGAATGACAGATTATCCAGCAAACAACTCAAAAATAACCCTGCCAACTGAAAGAGAAGACATAGGTAAGGTGAAGGTAATTTAAGCTGCACTCCCTGCCAAAACTGACCTACACAGCTGCTGGAGTTTACATTTACCATTTTCGCATAGCCCCTGGATGGGATGCAAAGTCCCTTCGCAAGTTATAACCCCTAGCATTTTTGTCAGGTTTTCTCCTTACAGTTCACTGGTACCCCATTATATTACGCTCAGGTGCTAAATAAAACATGTCACGGCTGTATAAACTCACAATTGACCTGCATCCCAATGTGTGGCTGCATAGCCTCAGTTGGGCATAGAGATCAATGCACTAGTAACGCGGAGGTCATGGGTTCAAAATTTTTTTCCCGTTGGAAAGCCAGAATTTTTCTGGCTTAAAACTAATTTTTATTTGCAATTGCTTCCTATATAAAGTGAATGTTCCCACTAACTGCGATGATCATTATAATTTCAATTTCATTCCATTATCCGCAGTGGAATATATATATATATGATGTCATTCATATATTCAATCATCCACATTAAACCATGTTTACATGTAAATATTTACAACAGAGCCACAAAATACATTCCATTTGACTTGGTATTTACCTGACTTAAGACAGTGTGAGAGGGGCCAATAACTAAAAATCAACCAATCAGAATGTAAAATAAAATAAAATGGTTTTCGAAGTTTCATTGATTAAAGATTACTGAGTGTAATTACACACCAGCAAAATATTTGTAATCAAAATACAATATACATAAAAATGGGGTTTATGGGTACTTACCAATGGTAACCTCCCGGCCTGAACAATCGATGAACATCGATGATCGATGAAAATCGATAACAATCGATGAAGTGCCAACATTTTCTGGCGACTATATCGATTGGTCATAGATTGGGCCAATACCCAATCGATATCAATTAACTAATTGTGTTATACATTGGGAGTATAAGATTGAATCGATTGATTTTTCACTTGAGAGATCCGGAATTCACTCTTCCAGCTGGCATGTAAGCAAATAACACATAGTGTAACACCCAGTGAAGATATCGTCAACCGAATTCTCACTACGTTGATTTGTTGCACACTTCTGTGCCAACTATGTGGTGTCCTCGGTCTGGTCCTCTAAGTGGATGTGTCAACATGAACATGGCTACTTCACAGTTTTCAACGTCCTTTATCGGACCTACACTCATGATAGCTCTCAGCCCATCAGTCACACAGGCACAACTGTCTTAACACTGTTGTTGTTGCACGATTGTTAGTGCTACATCTATCTCAGGTAGACAAATCATTCTACTAAATCCATCGATCCCTCCATGGACATACCAATCTCCACAGGTCTACAAAAAAAAAGGGAAGAAATGCCTAAATCCAGTATCTAGACACGACCTTTCATACACAATAGGAATCCAAACTTTGAGTATTACTATTAGTAGGTAGCCATATTTTCTATTAAACCGAATGGGCTTCAATTAAAAACCTGGGCTCAAATACAATGCAGAGTCCACGCAGCCAAAGTTACATAATGCCCCCCCTGGCTTATCTTCAAGGTACCAGCATTTATTTGAGTTCCAGCGTCTATTTTTGAAAAATCCTACCCCTCCGCCATCCCCAGCCAAAACCTTACTTACTAGGAGGTTGGCAAATGGCTCAAGTACTTCAAATAAAGTTATATTATCATATCTTAACATAATGATACCTTAATTCGTTTTATGACTGCCATCATTATGCCACCAGTTCGAGTGTGGGTCCATATGTGAATTGTCTGAACGCTTGAGCTACTTCAGCAGGACACCAGGTGGATTGACCCTCCACATTGCCTCATCTTTATTATTCTGTTGAATTCTCAACCCTCTGCTTAACAGGATCCTTTCTATTTTATCACCACACCCAATCAAGCCTGACATGCAGAGCATCGACTGTGTTCGGATCAAGAACTATTCCAGTTTCAACGAACAATGTTATCCAACAAATCTCTTGTACATTTTTCATAACAGACTGGCCTAGGCGTCCGCCATCTTGAATAATACGGAGCGGTAAATTAATTACCTGCCTTCGCTTTGGTGATTGATGTCTGTCTCGTTACCAGTTCACTCGTTTGTGTACAAAAGTGGTAGCCGAGAAAATTCACAGGGAGGCTTCCAAAATTCAAAATGAATTCCATCTGAATCCCTAAAATCTTAAGTGCACCTGAAGATCAGAAATTATTATAACTGAAAATTATAATAATTAATT